CAAATTTATTATACTATATACTAAAATTAAAACTCTGCTGAATTAATATATAAAGTTACTTTCATTATTTTTTATGCTTTCTACTTAAATATAAATAAATTAGTAAATAATTTTCTATAGGTGTTATTAAACTAGCAATCTTTGCAGCTTCTCTCGGTCACATGGTTGAATTGCAGTTTGTTTGTCTGTTTGTTTATTCAATCTCTATAGCCGCCCATCTCGGTCAATGACTCTGGTTTGCTTACAATTACACAAAGGCGACATAATGTATTATTTTGTTTTTCATTACAAACTGTAATGGCAATAAATAGTATCTATGCCACAGCTGAAAGACAGTATGTTGAGAGATATCACAAATCTATACTCAATAAAAACTGAGTAAAGTGTGCTTTGAGAGCCAGTTTGGTGTAGTGGTTCAGGCAGGGGTCTTCAAACTTGGCCCTTTTATGACTTGTGGACTGACTGAGGAATTCTGGGAGTTGAAGTCCACAAGTCATAAAAGGGCCAAGTTTGAAGACCCCTGGGTTAAGGCATCTGATTAGACACCAGGAGGCTGTGTGTTCTTGTCCCACTCTAGGCATAAAGCTAGCTAAATGACCTTGGGCTAGTCATACACTCAGCCCTAGGAAGGAGGCAGGGGCAAATCACTTCTAAAAAAATCTTGCCAAGAAAACTGCATGGACTTGTCCAGGCAGTCTCTGAGTATCAGACATAATTGAATGGAAGTGAAAAAAGTGTCTTTTTACATAATAGAATCTAACAACTGAGTTATGTGCTGTGATATTGCTGCATATGAAATTAGCAAGAACTCTTGCCTCTTCATACCAGACAAAAATAGTATTGTCTGGCTTTCTCTGTTTAATTTAACCAGCTGTAGAATTATAAACCTGTCTGTAAGTTGGAGCTCTTCAGGGAAGATATTTCTGGAATACACACATAGAAAAATATAGTTATGTTAGTATGTGACCTCTGAGAGATGTTTAAGTAACAAAAAGAGCACAGCCGATCATTGTAGTAGTCCTACAGAGATATACCTATGGCACCACTGAATCAAATGTATTCCTCTGCTGTTGCCAAAAGTATACAGCACACTTATTTGTTTAATTCTGCCCAGCCCGATGGAAGTATTGGAAAAATGTATTATTTATGGATAGATCCTCAGAAACTTAATGGAATGGGACCAATTTTATATGAGGGGAGAAGTATACAAAATAAAATACAAACATTTCAAGTTTGAAAATGGACCACCTGAGGCCAGAGACTGTAGACAAGAAAATCCAGAAAAAGTTCTCCCATTGTATCCTTGAGTCAAAGAGAGATAGGCAGCTGTTGCATTCAAACCCCTTCCATCTTCCTGTCACATGTCTCAAAACAGCTATCATAGAGTATTTATGAATGTGACTTTGGCTGTAGATGAGTTCTTATGTCACCTATCAGTCCTGATAATATATTGTTGTATGATATGCTAAGCATTCAAGATCTTTCTTTTTCTCTATTTTGCAGGGAAGAAAAATCTGAGGACC